ATGAAATTTTGGATACATCGGTTAGTGAAGTAGAGGGCGCATCACTCAGTACCTGAAACAAAAAATATTTTAAGTGTTTTATAATGGTATTAAATACGCGATATTTGCGCTAAAAAAATACATACAGCTAGAGGAGAACTGCATATGACAGTGGTGAGAATATGAATAGTATTATCTCCCCTAAACAGCATTTGTTTAAAGATATTACCATTCAAATGACATGAACAGTGTGCACGATAACGTTAGCGCGTCACACATACGCTTTTTGCTGTAGCCGTTCTGAATTACCAACTTATAACAACTCCATGCACGTTTCACTCATTTACAAGACACTCCTTTTTATGCGTTTTGCACCTCGATAGCGGTGCAAAACGCACACTGTCGAGACCTCTGTATGTCTGCGTATATCCAGATTTTCGAACAGGATTTTCAACCCAACCAAAACCTAGGCTGAAATGTACTAGGCTAGTCAGTGCGATCATGCGCTTTTGCACTAAACTCGCAAATCGCTAATAGCAGGAATAATCTCTGCGCTATAGCCTAACACGTGAACTCATATCGGCCGTGCTCTGTCCTCTTCCGTCATGCAGGAGAAAGGGCGTCGGTTGGAATGGTGCTGCATTACAGGGCCTCATAGGCCTACAGATACATGACTACCAGTTTCCTGCATGAAGCCCGGTAGTTCGCTGCAAAACGCACTCATTTCTGGTTCTTCAGTAAAGTTTAGTATTTCTAGTAACCGTCTGCATGGAATTTCACATCCAAGCAGAACTAAGTCCGCACCTGAAAGTAGAATATCCTAACAAAGTTTCAGCCTAGCAACTCATCCGGTAAGCGAAACAGACTTCGCTACAATTATCTTTGAATTGCCTTAAGTTATGGCACAAGTGCAAGTCTGTACTCATTTTAGGTATACGAACTGCAGTAAAGGAAAAGAGAAAACAAAACATTACAAAAAAAGTGAGTTAAAATAAGCTGGAGTGTCAGCGTATTAAAATACTCTCTTCGTTGGCGCATGTTTTTTTTTTAACAAAGAACCTTACATCTGACATTGAGTCGTCGTTATTCGCGCTTCTTTCGATTGCTAAAAGGAGAGAATCTTTCTTCTTTTGGCGTACAGTTTCAAGACGCAACGAATACTGTTGCAGTGTACTATTCCATGCTTCACAACTTCGCAAAATCTGATCACAGCGAGCACTCGCCCTTTCATACACATATTTTACAAACACTGCAAAAACAGTACACTGGTATAAGCATTATCTGCATGTTAGAAATGCAACGAAAGGTGCCACAGAACAGACCGAGAAATGCAACTCATCAAGCAAAAAAAATACCTTCTTCTCTACTCGCAATATCCACAGCACAGTCCCACGCATTTGCTTCACAGTATGCTTCCAATATTTTCATCGTATTTGACTGGAAATATACAGCTATGCTGACACTGTCCCCAGCAAGCCACCCCTATACTAAGGACTAACAAGCCTTCTTATCGAGAAACAATAACACACCTGCTCATCCAGAAGCAACAACATTTCAGCGACGTCACGGAAGCGCCTTTCTCCTTCGAAATGTTTTATCATTTTTATAAGCAACTCATTAAACTCATTCCTTTCCATATTCAAGCGCCGTGCACATCCCACAACTCCTTTCCAGTGATGCGCGCTCTGATAGCAACGCATTGCTGAGATGAGATTATTCGCCCTTCTGAACAGCACTGCCGCTTCATCAAAACGCCGCGACTGCTCCAAACAATTCGCACACAGTTCGCACACCTTCTAAATCAGAACTTGTTTATTATGCGTTGTTGCACCTTACGCCAATGCAGTTCAGGCTGCAACGCAACAGACTTGCTGATGCGATCAGTTGAAGCAGCCAGATCGTTAGCACGAATGGTTCCTGTGTGTTTATTGTTGACTGTGCTCTGGCCTTTCCTTGCATGCAGGGGAAGAAAGCGTTGGCTAAGCCAGTGATGCTACACCATGGAGCCATGTGAAATTTCAGTATGCATGGTTATTAATTCTGCATGGTTACTAATTTTGCATGAAAAGAACTGATTTTTCGGTGACCGGTCGTCTATCGAGAAATGCAAAACTGACGATGAACAGGACATCGGTAGAAAACAATTACGAGATTCACACAATATACTCATTTACGATGCTGCAACAAAACTGAGTGTTTGTCATGTTCGTGTGCACGAAATTTAGCCTCAAGCTGAATTTAGACCATTCGTGAACACAGAACATCCATATAAAGTTTCGGCCTTGCAACTTGTCCGGTAAGCAAAGTCGCTGCTTTGTTACAAATATCTTTGGACGGCCCTACGATGTGGCGCAACTGCAAAAGGAAACTCCGTTTACGCAGTATCAACTGAGCACTTGGAAATGACTACACGCGTGTACAACAGCTGAAATTGAAATGTTTGGCTCACAGGTGAAGATGGAACGCCAACGTGAAATTTCAGCTTTCTAACTTGTCTGGAGAAAAAAATGGCATGTTTTTTCCGGCTTCTGTACGTGATATATAGGCTACCATAAGCGATAATTTCAGGTTGAAAGATAATGCCTATGGGCGGAACATGCTCATAATCACCTGTGACGCGCACTGGGGGGCCCCGTGCGATCATGCGTTTTTGCAGTGTTTCATGCTGTAATAAGATTACTGGAAATTCCGCTAGCCAAAAACCTCTTATACATACTGGTCCTCGAATTTCGGGAACTTAATTATCCACGCTATAGTTGGACATGGAACATTCTCTTGAAATCCCAGGTTCCCAGCTTTCTTAGTTCCCGAGTTACCCAAATTGTAGCCAGAAAATTTCACGC